GCTTCTACATTGCATTAAAAATAATTGGTCAGCTTCTTCACCAAGTCTTGGTACTAATCTTTGAAGAAGTTTTTTGTTAATTTTACCTTAGTTTTAGGTATTATTTACTTTTTTCTTCATTTCTTTTCTTTTTTTAATTTTTTCTGCTTTTCTGCAAGCCGATTATGAACGATCGAATTCTGATCGATTTTAGGAGTTTCTGACAGATTTTAAGGCCTATCGATTTTCGATCGATTTCCGATCGATTTCAAAAAAAAAAAAAAATGGCTTCCAAGTGGAAGCGCCGTTTTTTGGACAACAGATCCAATAAATAAGAAAAGAATCAAGACAATTAAGAAAGAATTACAATGAAAAGTGTACAAATGATGATTTGTAGTCCGTCAAATTAAATATTCGCGGTAATATTCAAAATATTTGAAAGCGCGCGCGATGAACGGTTGATTCGGAAAGGTTTGTTTATGTACTGCTTATCACTGTATCACTCACTGCATTCTCTCTTAGTCTCTTGGTGAATGAGTGTTTTCTTGTCAGTTATTTTACTTTTTGAAGATATTATCGAACTAATTAGATCATTACAATACTTCCATTATAAGGCAGTCAATTTGGATCACATTCTATCCTTTGGAGAAATGGTTAGCAAACCGCAAAGTGGTGTGTGTGTGACGGATCTACGAGATGTTGGTTCGCTCTCTGAATACCGATCAAAGCTATTCAATGGTGATACACGAGGTCCTTATTCACATTTAGTCATTAATATTTCATCCGTAATTTGTAGTGTAATCCCTCGCAAGTGCGTGCTCTAATTTTCGAAAACTAGTTCGTGCCGGATACTGAGTGATCATCATAGACATCGCCGCTTATGATAACCTTCTTCGGGTAGCTTCCAAATCATTTATCATCTGTGATTTCATTAGTAATTATATCTCACATCCTCAGGTACCATGTGTCAAAGATTTTATAATATCACTTCTCCATTTAAGGATTTCACTTCCAAAATCCTCTGGTTGCGCATAACATCACAACTGTAATTCATCGGATCATTGGTTGCGATTAGGTTAGCGTAGCTAACCAGTACTAGCGTATTGGTCCAACAGTGCAAAAACACATGTAGTATTAAAATACCATAAACTATTTGAGAAGAAAGTTTTACCTTCCTTACTGATTAAATGAATCGTCATTGATTTTCATCTTTGTCCCTAAGAGTTTCCATGATGGGTCCGAGTGATGATTGACAATGAACTCATAGGAGAGCCTTATAGAGAAATATCTACATAACTGCATGCCTAACCAGAGGTTTATTTATCTTGATATGCTGCCCCTTTAAGGATTGATTTATCAAGCAATAATAACTGTGCAATCATGAGGGGACTCTAAGAGTCCTGATAGTTACTAAATTCCAGGATAATCAGCTTTTAACAAGCTCAATTAGTCCAATCTCACAGCAGCAAGCGGTCAGTTTATCATCAGTTCTTCTCAGTTATGTGTTCAATTCAAAATGTTTTAAAACACCTGCTACCTAGAGCAACAAGTCACCATGGACTTCACCAATTCTAAATAGCTGTGTCACTCAGAATTATGGCTTCCGCTTGTTCTATCGTACATTTTAAGGATTTGCGGAGACTATAACTTGATTGTAAACAGCCATTAATTCCACCAAGTTTCATCAACTCCCTTTTCATCACTTGAATCTACTAGAATGTCGCAAAGAGCAACAAAATTTTCTGTAAGTACCTATCTAGCTGTAGTTTTATACGTTTCATACAATTTTTATTTTGAACCTTGGACATCTCCATAACCATCCATGCACAGTGAACTCAATTTTCAAATGATCCATCTCATATCAGCACTGTTTGCTAGGTTTAACAATTCTGTCTTCAAGAGATCTCATATTTTAAATCTTAATAGTGGTGTCAAAATAATCTTTACTCTTCCATTCAGTTTTATGCTGCATGCAAATTTTTCTTTGTATACCTGCACTTTCATCCCAATTAAAATATCTAAGTCGGTGTTTCAGTTACAAATTTTCATGCGCCTTTTCCTGTTTCTTCGTGTAAAGTTCTTATTCTCTCAGATTCATTTCCCTAGATACCGCAGTCTTGCTGGGTATGTATTTTTACATGTTAGAGCTGAGGCGGTTGAAATCGAGAACATTTCCCATCATATTTTTCCCCTCATAAAAGCAAATCATGAAAAATCTCCGTGTTGCTCTCTACTCAACAGCCCATTGTTTCAGTAGAGCCAGCCTCAATGAAGCTAAAATCCTTCTCATATTATACTCTTCGGGGTTCTTCTTTCCCCTATAATATTTGTGCAAACTTCCTTCATAGTCTTGCGAAAAAATAAGTGGCAAATTAATTAATTCCTAAGTGTAAGTAGTTGAAATCAGAATTTAAAATTCTTTATTGGATAGTGAGCAGGCCAAAGTTCAAACTGCTGTCATGGAGAAATCTTCTCTGTTCTTATGGGGCTCATAGACAATTTATCGTTAGATGGAAGTATATGTTGTTTTAAAATTATTTCTTAACATATTTAACTTCATTCACAATTTTACATATTTTGTATGCTCCATTTTAGAAATTTTTAAATTTTATCACGGCAATTTAATTATGAATTTTAAATTTTATCACGGTAATATCCTCAATATTCTTCTCTCCTCAATTCGTATTCGCTTCTCTATCTCTTCATTTACAACATCTTCGTAGTTCTCAATGACTAGCACGAGATTCGCCATCTTTAAAACTATCCCGTGAAGCGTGACCCAAATCGATGGAAAACTCGGTTTTTCACGAAATCGATGGAAATCCAAATCGATGGGTCCGGACCCATCGATTTGGATTTCCATCGATTCCGGGATTCTGATCGATTTAGGGCCGTATTTCTGCATTTTTGCATCGATTTGTGTCCTATCGATTTGACCGGCCCATAAGCGCAATGCTTTTCTAAATCGATAGCATCCCCAAATCGATCATAATTTCTGTCAGAAATCGATCGTTCATAATCGGCCTGCTGATTCTTTTTTGATTTCTTATTTTTTAATTTTTTTTTTTTGTTTTTTGTTTTCGGCTTTTTCAATTTTTTTAATTTTTTTTTGTTTTCTCTTTTTTTCCGTTTTTGACTGTTTACATCCTTTTTGATTTTTTTTCCCATTTTTCCTTATTTTCTTTTTTTTTTTTTATTTAAACTGAAAGTTTGCATATTTTATTGAAATAATGCTACAAAATCTAATCTATAACAAAGTTCTATAAACAATATGGTCTGACATACAGTAATAATTTAAAAAAAATTAAATACATGAATTATTCCGGAATCTGAACTCTGCAGGGGGCCAACGGTTTTACTTCATTTTTAAAAAATTTGACAGAGGATCTTAATTTATCAACTAATTACCCCATTTTGGACCGCTGTGCGATGAAAATTTGTGAAGCTGAACACAATTTAATGCATTGAGGACCGATAAGAACATTGATAGCCATTAAAACTGCAGGAAATCGACAATTTTACTTCCATTTTTAAAAATTTGACAAAGAATCTTGAGTTGTCCACGATTTCTCCCCATTTTGGACTACTGTACGACCGAAATTTTTGGAACTGATCACAGCTACATGCACAGGGGCCCAAAAAGAACATTTACAGCCAAAACCCGTCAAAGGTGTAACTTTTTCGTCCTTTTTTTCCCGTCTTTTTGCTGTGAAAATGCTGTCCATAATGGTGGCGATTTGACAACTTTGCCCCCCATTTTCTCAAAAATCGAGTGCATACTCAAGCTAAAATTTTTACGTGAGGTTTAGGATATCATAAGGTATCGTTTGGGCCCGGTTTCGAAAAAATACCCACTGACCGAAATTGTGCCAAAAAACGATTGTTTTTGGCGTTGCTCTTTCCAACGAGGCCTCAGCAGTCTACTTCTTCCATACATTGAAATACGAAAAGATCTACGGCGTCAACTGAAACAGCCAACTCTAGTGACTTTCTTCAGCAAACCATAGGTGAATGTAAGCATTTTTCATTTGACATGTTCCCTATCCCATCATTTTCCATTAGACCAATTCCCCCGTACCCGCGAGTTCGGTATCCGCGGGGTTTTTGCGGAACGTAACCATCGAGGATACCGGGGTATTACAGTGCTTCCTCTACCCTAGAAGATAGAGTACCTATATTGAGAGAGTATGGCCACTGGGCCCCATGGAGAGGCTTAGGACCCAAAAATGGCGGTGCTTTGTTTTGGTTTTTGAGGATGGGAGGGGGGTCATTGCCAACTTTTGACGGTTATCACCAACCGCACTTGCTGCCAACCTTACTACATCTAAGATAATTTTTCTCAAAAATTGCACACGATTAGCTTTAAAAATATGTAGAGAAGTCGCAATAGTGCATTTGAGTAAATTTCTCGTTACGATAAGCAAAGAAAACTACATTTTGAGTCATTTTGCATTAGATTAATTTATGGCGTCCGCCATTTTTGGGTCCTAAGGGCTCCATTCAGCCTAAGATGGCTGAGCCAAACAGAGGTGGTAACACCAGTGGCCATACTCTCTCAATATAGGTACTCTACTAGGGGAGCGAGAAAGTAAAAAGAAATCATTGAAATATACTGATCAGAATCAGACACAATTATATTTTTGGGGCATAAAATTTATTCTGATCAAAAAAGTAACTAGCACACAGTTTGATGGCACTGTTGCTGACATTTGAGATGGATTATTTCAATTTCTTATAAAATCTTTTATAATGCATATGGTTTGAAATTTTGACCTTATATTTTGGAGAGCATTAGTGAGTGCTCAGCATTGAAACCTGCCCAATCGATATTTTCAATCCCAAATCGGTTTTTTTTGTTTGGTCCATTGAACAATTGAAGTCACCTCCTTGCAACTTGACCGCCACATATTTACACAAACCATTTAGGATTTAGGGCAAGTGTAACTAGCTGCTTATCATAAAGATACAAAGGAATGAAATCAATTTTAATACGAGGTCACGTGCATTATTAGAATAATAAGTTTTTCATTTCAAACCTCCGTAAAAGTATTTCTTTATCAGAGGAAATAGAAAAATAAGGATGTGAATTTAAGTACCTGTGCATGCATGGACGATTGGACAGAGTACGGTTTCTTAAAAATTATTTTCTTAACTTATTCTTGAGCTCATCTACTAACGACTCACGCTTCACTTCTTCTTCTTGTCTGCTAGGAACATGACGTAAAGTGACAACTCCTCTTTTAAGCTCATCTTCCCCAATTATTACGGCCCATGGAATACTGGTCTCTTCGCAGTGTTGTAACTGAATGAGAATCTTTGGATTCATTTTGTAAGAATGCTCTGCCTGAAAAAAGAAGAAAAACAACAATGAAAAATATACACAAATTGCGATTTCCCTCACATCTATCATGTCTCAACCATAGACAAAACAAAATTTTGGGACTAATTCTTTTTAACTATTAAAATGTTTTTTCTCTGCTGACAAAGATGGCTAAATATTGAGAGAATTAAGCTCCTCTTCAGAAGGGATGACTAGATGACAAAAAAATTACTTTCATGATAACATCAATTAAAAAAACAGATGCATTTCGTAAGTGGAGCAGAGTCTTGGTATCACATTGGCACCCACAATTACAAAGGGTATCTCAAGAGAACAGCACACTTTTCTTTAGGAGGTAAATCAAAAGTGATATCAAAGTTTGTTTGAGTGAGATTTTGATCAAATGGTTATATGCAAATTAAAATCATTCCAAGTCCCATGCATCAAAAATTGACTGAGGAATAGGGTTTTGAATGTGACAGATAAAGCAAACCAATTCTGGGTAATTTTAGTGTTAATTATTACCACGGATAAAATATTAATGAAAAAATGTAACAATAAAAAATCAGAAGGTTTTTGTAAACCAACTTCACAGAATCTTAAAAAACTTAGAAAGTTCAATATACTCTATTTTATTGGACTACCTGAGTTTCTACTTAAATAATTGATTTCTCTTTACTTGTACCCTTTCAGTACATATCACTTTTAAAAATCTTTATGGATGTTTCTTTTTCTTTTTTTTTAACCTCTAATTTAAGGGTAACGAGTTCACATAGCCTCAGAGACAACTAACGTTTTCTTCTCATTTTCCAGAAGGTTTGAGGGGGTATGGGTGGTTTCTTACTCAATCTGACCTTTTGAATTGATAGACATAAGGTGAGACAATGAAAGCAAACTTTCATTTTTACTGAGGTCTCCTTCTATAGGAGGGGGGCTTCCCCTCTGTAACCTAAAATTTTATTAAAATTTTTGCTCTATCATAATCAGTGGCTGGGAAAACAAGTACGAAATTTCATTATTTTTGCAATTTGCTCACAAGTTTCTAGCAAAAAATGAAATTGAACGTACGAAATAAAAAGCCAACCAAGTGAAAACCACTAGACACACCTTTTGAGACATGCCGAGGTCAAAATTTAAAGAGATTCTACATCTTTCTCTACACCAAATCTAAAAATGGAGCACCTTAGATCACTTGGACCGAGGAAAGGAGAAAGCTGTTTACAACCACTGCTGTCAAGTTTAAAAGTGCCGTCCGAGTAAACACAGTGTTCTACTCTAGCGGTATTCCACTGTAGATTTTGATACTTCAAGGTAATTTTTGCTCTGGCAACCGTGCATATTTTGCTCTTCATTCAGATGCCATTTCTTCAGTATTTATTTTCATCATAAATCCTCCATATATTCTGGGAAACCATAACTTTCATTCTAGGCTAGTTTGAAAGCTACCTCTATCACTGCCCACAAAAAAGCTAAAGAAGACCTGATGGACTAGAGACAGATATTGGTCCCCCTGAATTGAAAAGTAACGGGATGGTTACTTGGCAGTTTGATAAAGGCTGTTAGTCCAGGAATTATACGATAAATTCGGCCAGTTAAGGGAAAAAATTAATAACAAGCTGATTTTAGGCATAGTGAGTGCTAATGACCCCCTGAGTCCCCCCCCCCAAAAAAAAAGTCCTCATCGATAGCGTGACTGCTTTGGGTTTTTTTGGGGTGGGTAGGTTCCCCAAAATCGGTTTTTCGGTCATAGTATGAGAACGGTTCCTCGTATCAGTACGTATAGCACCATTTTCTGAATCCTCGTAAAATTTTGGAGCGATATGTTACGTTTTCAATTTTCCATAGCCCCCCGAAGCCCCCCAAAATTGAAAAAACATCAATTCAAGGCATATTTTTGACAATTATTCTGCAGGAAAAGTTCCCCCACGGCTGTTCAACGACAAACGCTGCATCATCTTAACTGTTGGTACGATTTACTGTAAGCTCATTGACTACCATTTTCGCGGCGAAGTCCGGGAGGGGGGGGGGACCCTCGAACATTGTAATAGAAAGTACTCATGAAGAGGGGGTGTTTAACCTTGTTTCTCAAAACTAATCATGCAGACTTGAAGCTCTGCTCTATGAAAATGATTCAGATTTTAAGTACAGGCTAAGTGGAAAAATAAATCGAGGAAGGGGAGAGGGTGATCACCTACAAAGTGAAGACAACCCCCCCCCCCCCCTCCAATGAATGCCCCCGCCGAAAGTAATGAGCAAGACGAGAAAAGTGGTGAATACAGATTATGAATCAAGGAAATCATGGGGTACTAGGGGGCCCTGCCCCCTGACCGCTACGCGGCCCAACCCCCTGGAGGGCGCTTCGCGGGCCCTGCACGCATATGTATAGGCAAAAATGTTCTTCCATTTTAATACACCATTTTGTGTTTGAGCTGCATCGATTTCAAAATTTTAACTTACCTCTCAGATTTGTAAATTATGAGGAATAGCTGGATGTGCATAAATTGGTATTAATGGAGGCAGTATATTGACGGCTAAACTCGGGAAACATGTATCTCAATTTGCGATGTCGTATACTTCTCGTCGAACTTTTTTTTTTTTTTCTTTTCTTTTTTTCTTATTGGAAAACTAATCAACGTACTAATTTTTTTGAAATCAACTGTGATTTCACTTCTGCTCGAAGAATATTCTGTGAGAATTTAAAGCGATAAAATTGGCTCCTTTCCCTTCGAATTCTTAAATTAGATGCGGAAATCTTGAAACACCGTGAGCAAGGTACGTGGTTTTCGAATTTAGCCATCGGTATGCAAAGAAAGCTCTTATGCTATGCAATAATTGCTAAGATTGTGGAATCTGGTACATATTTTTCGGAGAATCTAGTGCTCATGCATTTTTATATTTTGACAGAAAATGTGCGCCGAACTTTCAAAAAATGTATTTTTGGGCATGGAGTTAGTTGAGCTGAAAACTACTCTCGACTCAATTTTTTGGAAAATGCGACTCGATGCGTTTTTGTAAATAAAGACCACTTACTAAAGAAATTTCCATTTATTATGTTATTTTGAAATACTTAATTTAAAAAAAAAATCGGATTACAACCATTGAGAGTTAATAATATTTGGTCCGTCCCGACGCAACGCAGCGCCTGCCTTCTCACTTTGTATCTGCTATAAATATGAATAGAAATTCAGCAATCAAGTATATTGACCAATGCCCTAATCGAAGCCGGAAGAATGAGGAACAATTCAATAAAAACCTTATACCTTCGACCTTGAACCTTGAACCTTGAGCGATGCACCGTTCCTCAACTCTCTGAATGAGGAGCCCTGCTACACAAGCTTTTCCATTGTTCTATTATTTATTGGACTCACTCAGGTAGAATCCCACACCTCGACGTTTCTAGCGGAAACGACATATCTCTCACACTATTAACATTGGACATAAGTGACATGAGCTTCAAAAGCTCTACAACATTGAAAGTTCGGGGTTTCATAATTTTTTGCATATCTACAGCTATTACAGATGACATACATGTAAAGATCATCCTTATCGGTCCGGTAGTTCGTCAGAAATAGTGCTTCCAAGATTTTGCTTGTAGCTGTATCATACAGGGTGCCCCAAAAGTCCGTACCCCCCTCGAAACTTCTGAACGGTTAGAGATAGAAAAACGAAACTTTGGGAATGTGTCTATCTTAAAGGGGTCCATCTTCTAGGGGGGTCAAAATTTTTGTTCCCCCCCTCAGGGGGGCCGCGGGGGCCTCCAACTTTTTTTTTCAAATGGTAACCCCTATCTTGTGATACATCATTAAAAAGAGCATAAAAAACTAAGAATTTTGGCGCAAACCGCAAATCAATATCCTAATTTTTGACCGAGTTACGATAGGTCAAAGGTCAAATTTGACCTATTTTTAAAAAATCATATCTCCGGTTCAAATTATCGTAAAGAAAAAAACAAAACGGGAAAATTTACTAAATTGTAAACATTTTCAAGTAAAAATCACAGAAATTACTTCAAACTAATTTTAAGGGGGGTTTCGGACCCCCGAATACGTCATTTTAAGGGTCATACGATATTCTCGCGAAATGAGCCAATTTCCCGTTACTTTTCCTCAACATTATCTTAGTAAGTTCAAAATTAGTTCAATATTGCGTTTTCAAGTCCCCAAATTTCGAGCAAAGTTCAAAAAACGAAATTTAAGGTTATTCAATTCTACCATTTAAATTTCATTTCTTTTTAAAACTTTGTTCGAAATTTGGGGACTTGAAAACGCAATGTTGAACTAATTTTGAACTTACTACGATAATGTTGAGGAAAAGTAACGGGAAATTGGCTCATTTCGCGAGAATATCGTATGACCTTTAAAATGACGTATTTGGGGGTCCGAAACCCCCCTTAAAATTAGTTTGAAGTAATTTCTGTGATTTTTACTTGAAAGTGTTTACAATTTAGTAAATTTTTCCGTTTTGTTTTTTTCTTTGCGTTAATTTGAACCGGAGATATGATTTTTCGAAAATAGGTCAAATTTGACCTTTGACCTATCGTAACTCGGTCAAAAATTAGGATATTGATTTGCGGTTTGCGCCAAAATTCTTAGTTTTTTGAGCTCCTTTTAATGATGTATCACAAGATAGGGGTTACCATTTGAAAAAAAAAGTTTGGGGGCCCCCGCGGCCCCCCTGAGGGGGGGACAAAAATTTTGACCCCCCTAGAAGATGAACCCCTTTAAGATAGAAACATTCCCAAAGTTTCGTTTTTCTATCTCTAACCGTTTAAAAGTTTCGAGGGGGGGTACGGACTTTTGGGACACCCTGCATAGATAATCTTAATGGAAAATATTTTCTCCCCCTCGTCTAGACTCCCCTCCCCCTCTCGAATGCGCCCCCCTCCTTTTGTCAGTCATCAAGATGTTCAAGCAAGAAAGGTAGATGGCAGGGATGAAAGTTAATCTTTTTCAATTTCGTCACAGAGTCTTGACAAAAAATCTGTTTTTAGGAGGACTTTACTTTTGCGTGCCTTCTCAGGCTGTGTCATTACCTCTGCAATTTTTAGGAAGGGCAAGTCAATAAAGAAAAAGAGTTTGTTTTGTAGCAGCCACTGAAAGTATCTCAAAGAAACTGAAGTACACATACATACATAAAGTCGCTTTTATAGCGCTGCCTCGCGCTCTGCAACGCCCAATCGCCATTGCCCCCTATCCTCCCAGAGATCATCAGGCAATTGGCACCTTCTGATCTCCTCCTCCACCCCTTGTCGACAACCTTTCACAGGACGTCCACACCGTCGCCTTCTGGGAGGAACCCAATCGAAGACCTGCTTGGGCAACCGATCATCTGCCATCCTTCGCACATGTTCATACCAGACCAACTGCTTGGACCTGATATCGTGCACGATGTCCTTCTCCACACCCATTATCTCGCGTACCCTTTCATTGCGGATACGCTCTCTTCTCGATGTACCATGTTGTAGAAACTGAAGTACCATCGAAAGTAATTGCTTCCTCATCGGAGAAAGTGTTTCCAGGGTCGTTTGGAGCCCCTGAGAGAACCTGCTCCTTTAATTCCTAGAAAAAATATTGTGGGCGCCATACTTTGCCAGCAGAAAAATGGAGTTGGCACAAGGTCCTGAAACTTACTTCAACTTCGATACACTATTATTTCAGCTCTTCAAAACAATTTAGAGTTAATTCTTTGTTGTGAAAAGTCGTGGCAGTGTACTTGCAGATGCCGCAAAATAGGCCTTGAATGCTCTGCGTGTGCATCACTTGTAAGGGCAACTCATGTGAAAACTGCAGAATCCCAGACTTGGATGATGAGGACAATGATGTCTATGATGAGCCCCTTGCCGTAGAAGAACTGTACGAGGGGCATTCGTAAAGTAAGTATATATCTTTATTTTCTCCGAAACTAATGAAGATAAATTAAATCGGTAAACGTCGTTTTTACCGCCATACTCTCAGCTTTTCAAAAAGTCTTCGTTTTTTAAATTTGGTTCACCGGTTCGCGAGTGACGTCATTTTTCCCGCACCCACCTCTCGTCACTGCGTGTCCAAAATATTCGAGTGCGGCGGAGCTCCTCAGACGAGTACATGTTACGGTGTTTTGGGGCGCTCAAGGAATATTACTGATCGATTTCTTGGAGAGAGGAAAAACGATCGATGCCGCAAGATATTGTGAAGTTTTGAAAAAATTAAGTCAGCGATCAAGCGAAAACGGCCCGATCTTTTGTCTCGTCAAGTGTTGTTCCTTCAAGACAACGCCAGGCTTCATGTGACTCATGTGACTCAAGACTTGTTCGCCTCATTCAAATGGGACCTTTTTCCTCATCTACGGTACTCACTAGACCTTCCTTCAAGCGATTTTCATCTTTTTCTTGCGTTAAAGAAGAGCTTGGGTGGCCAAAAGTTCTCCACCGACGCAGAGTTGCAAGAAGCTGTAAAAAAATGGTTCCAACAACAGGATGCGCAATTTTTTGAAGAGGGAATCCGCAAACTGCTAACACGGTATCAGAAATATGTTCAACTGGATGGAGATTATGTCGAAAAGTAAGGTAAGACAATTCAAAGCCTGAAAGTTTCACATATTTAACCAATTAACTGTGTTACAACCTCCTTTACGCTTAAAACATATACTCGTCTGAGGAGCACCGCCACCGCCGCGCTCGCATATTTTGGACACGCAGTGACGAGAGATGGGCGCGGGAAAAATGACGTCACTCGCGAACCGGTAAACCAAATTTTAAAAACGAAGACTTTTTGAAAAGCTGAGAGTATGGCGGTAAAAAAAACGTTTACCGATTTAATTTATCTTCATTATTTTCGGAGAAAATAAAGATATATACTTCCTTTACGATTGCCCCTCGTATCAGGGACTAATGATGGAAGTTGACCAGTTGCACCAAATATTAGTCAGCTATCACACGTGACACGACTATCAACGTCCGAATGCCAGCCGAAATCACCAGTCTTAAGGGGCCCATTCTCTGATCAATGGACTCCCAAGAAGAGAGGAACATCACTCACAAAAGGAGGGGGGCGTATTCTAGGGGGGGAGTCTAGACGAGGGGGAGAAAATATTTTCCACCAAGATTATACCCCATGGTTTCCTTGATTCATAATCTGTATTCACCACTTTTCTCGTCTTGCTCATTACTTTCGGCGGGGGCATTCATGTGTCTTCACTTTGTAGGTGCTCACCCCCTCCCCCTCCCGCGATTTATTTTTCCACTTAGCCTGTACTTAAAATCTGAATCATTATCATAGAGCAGAGCTTCAAGTCTGCATGATTAGTTTTGAGAAACAAGGTTAAACACCCCCTCTTCATGAGTACTTTCTATTACGATGTTCGAGGGTTCCCCCCCCCCTCCCGGACTTCGCCGCGAAAATGGTAGTCAATAAGCAGACAGTAAATCATACCAACAGTTAAGATGATGCAGCGTTTGTCGTTGAACAGCCGTGGGCGAACTTTTCCTGCAGAATAGTCGTCAAAAATACGCCTTGAAGTGACGTTTTTTCAATTTTGGGGGACACCGGGGGGCTATGGAAAATTGAGAATGTAAAATATTGCTCCAAAATTTTACGAGGATTCAGAAAATGGTGCTATACGTACTGATACGAGGAACCGTTCTCATATTATGACCGAAAAACTGATTTTGGGGAACTTACCCACCCCAAAAAAACCCAAAGCAGTCACGCTATCGATGAGGACTTTTTTTTGGGGGGGGGGGACTCAGGGGGTCATAAGGCCTTACTATGTCAAAAATCAGCTTGTCATTCATTTGTACCCTTTACTTTCGTATAAATCCTGGACTCTGTGATAAATAGTGAAAATAGTACTTACTTTGAAATCATTCTGCCATAGCTCATTGATGATTTTCATTCTTTCAGTAATAAGATTCTTCTGAGCAGAGGCAACATACACTTCTACTTCCGTGGTCCGAGGTTTTGTTTTTTCGGCAGTATTTTTGGCCTCAAGAATCGAAAAAATTCTCTCCACACCAAAGGAAATACCTACACATGGAACACTTTTGTTTTTAGCATCAAACATTCCAACCAAATTGTCATATCTGCCACCACCAGCGATACTACCGACTCCATCAGCTTCTCCACCTGAGAAAAAAATAGAATCGTGGTGAAAAGTTGAGTAGAAAAATGATATGACACATGAGTAATTAATTACATACTCACATTACTTAATACACGAAGATCTCATGGATTCGGGCATTTGCTACTAATGACATTATTGCTACTACTGCTGAAAAGGAGCTTCAACAAAAAAAGGTTTTTTAGCCAAATGAGGACGCTAAGTGAAAATTGGCTCCTTATAAGTGTTAACGAGTCTACATATAAAATTTCCCTTAAAGAAATATACTCATTGTCCTCTTGCCTTCGATATGCAGTGGTTAGATTTTGATCATATACACTACTTAACTGTTCTATGTATAATGATGTCAGGAGCTTCTTTCTTAAAAACATACCAAAAACTCTACAAATCTTAAAAGAAAATACGAAAAAAAAACTTTTATCAGCACTATTTACATTTCTATCTGCGACATTGCGGTTAAGCTACTTTATTATCAATGAATAAACTCATTTTTAAGAATTTTTAGTGATGAATATACTTTTTCTGGAGTAAACAACCACTGTTTAGCATTTTTGTAATTTTTAGATTTTTAATTTATAAATTTTTGTAATTTTTAGATTTTTAATTTATAAAAACTTTTGCAAGTTTGAATACTGAAGATGATATAGATACATTTTACATGAAAAATAAAATCAGAAACTTCATAAGCCCAAGAATAGTTCTATCCTATTTTGCTATTAACTGCTACTATTCTGCTACTAACTACTACTATTCTGCTTCTAACTACTACTATTCTGCTACTGGTACTACTACTACTACTACTACTACTACTACCCCTGCCGCCACCACCAATACTACCACTACTACTACTACTACTAGGACCTTCACAAATTTCCGATCAATCCAAATTGAGCCCAGAGGACAGAGGAAAGCAACCACCTAAATGTTCCAGACTTCAATTTTGATGCAAATGCATTCGTTAAAAAGCAAGGCTTCTAAACAAAACATTATGCTTTGCAGTAGTTTTAGGATCTTTCTACTTTCATAATGTCTGCTACACTTTATCCTCCACTTAGGTCTTCGATATGAAGGGGAATCAAGTCTGAAGAATATGAAACTTGTAACTTGCGCCACATTTTTTTAAACCTCTTTCAATCTAACATGGATAATTAAAACTAATAATGTTAGTAGAATCTTGCAAAAATAATGTAGACTTACCACACAATACAGCCTCATAAATAATACCAGTATAGTAATCTAATCCTCTGGCAAGGCTCAGGTCAAAAGACACTTTATCAGCAACATTGTAGTATTCACAATATTCAAGTAACAGCTTGATTCCGTCAAGACCATCTTTTGCAGACTGATATTTGCTGAGATTTTCATCAGCAAGTAATTTATCGACAAGTTCTTTGTGCCCCCTTTGTTGAACATACACGCCAATTTTATCTGCAATTTCAGGGGACAAATATTTCTCGTTCACCATTTCAGCTTTAACTTCTTCCCATGGAAACTAAAATTCAGATATTTCACGAAGTTAAATTAGTACTGTGTAAAAATGCATAAAATAACTAAAAAAAAACCAAAAGAGGAAGAGGAAGAAAAAATGAAGAATATCCCAAAATTAATCTTTGTATTAATCTCAGCCCGATACTGAAAACTCCCCCTAAAAAGTTGATAACGACGGGTGGCTGCTGCCTAACTACATGTACATTGAGAAACTCAATCAGGCTTGCCTGCACGGTTTGCGGTCCATTTAGCTCTCCTGCTAGTTAAATCATAAAGTAAATTCCAAAAACTATAATATTTGGATAGAAGATGCTCAGCTCTACTCATTATGCCCACCCTTTTTGAGTTTAGTTGAATATAAAGAAAAAGTTATTAAGCTTTAACAACCAATTTTGGACCCCAAAAAACGATTATGATGGAATTGTTGAGCAGATTCGGGGCCCGCGAAATTCTCGGCCGCGGAAAGCGGGCGTAATTACGTCAAACGACCAACAGCGTTAACTGTAAAAAAAAAAAAAAAAAAAAAAAAAAAAAAAAAAAAAACCCTATAAAAGTACACATATTTTGAATCTGGTTTGCAATGCATAATCTTTTTTTGCAAAATTGAAAAAAGAAATGAGGTACAAGGAGAAAAATCGATGGTTGAGTCATTTATTGATGATTTGAAAGTGTACCTCTTGTCACAGCTGTGGAGGTACTGAGAGCATTAAACCCATTAAACTTGGTAAGATTTAAATCTGTAGACTACAAGGATTCCACTTTCGGAAAGTTTGCATACTTTTATGGGGGTAGAAATTAGAATTTATAGTTAGAAGGAGGGTCTGTCAATTCTTCACGACAAAGAATTTGAAAGCAGCTTGTAGAACCGTGCGATAGATATTGAGCGCCAACTCTAAAAATCAAATTTTAGGTTATGTTTTTGTTATTATGGCTTCAAATATTTAGATAAGAAGAATAAGATAGATTAATCGATGCATGTTTCTATTGTATCATAGCCAAAGATAACTGGATCCATTTCTATATAATCCCTTTGTGATTCCCGCACCCTTGATAAATTTAACTGTCATATTAAGTACTCAGATCGCAACCTGTTATTTCTTCCCAGCGGCCCTGATCTAGTGATCTGCGAGATTTGAAGGACCTTTTGAAATAATGAGATTTACTTCTCCAGTATCTGTAATCTTAGCCGACCCGTCCAACGGTCAAATACTTAAAAGAGCTAATGTGACCCAATTAAATAAATTTAGACCAAGCGATCCATTAGCACATAATTGAGTATTATGAGCCCCCTTACACAAACTTTTAATGTAGCATTTTAATTCAAAATCCCAGTCATTGTAGTTTCTGTGAGCTGTGAAAGTTAAAGAATAAACCGGAAACCCGGACATGTTCTTATTTTTACAGAATTTTCAAGTGTAACAGGACGTTTTCTTATGAACCTGAGTTTCGCCGGGTTTTGTTTTGAATCTCTATAGAGAGCCGTTTGGCATTCTCTGAAATCTAAATAGACCAAACTCGACGAAGCTTAGTGATCAGGAACTGTAACATGACCTGTATCATTAACTTTTTGTTTCTGCGTACGTTGTCATACATACCTTGAGACTCAACACTCATTTTATTTTTTATTCTGTGGGTGTCCTGGGCCCCTCTCGACGAATTTCCACTTAAATTCCTCAATACATTGTTAGATGTTTATATGTAAAAAAAAACTATGCGTAATAAGTGTGTCAAATTAGTGTTTTGAGCCATCCATCCAGTTTAGTACATCCGTCTAGTTGCGTTACACATGTTATACGTGTTGTTCTATTAAACTTTTTAATTATAACTCCACTATCAACGTGCCAGTATCACTATCGATCTAGAAAAACACATGTCATTGCCTTGTAATTGCCTTGTAATTTGCTCTTTCCTAATCGAATTGAATTAATTGAAACAAACCCGTGCTATGCCTTCGTATGAAATTGTAACCCAGTAATGAAATTTTACCGATTCTAGTTTTCTTTCGATTTTATCTTTGCTAATTGTTAAAGTCAGGAGATGTTAATCCCTGCCAAAAATTTGTTTTTTCGCTTGCCCAAAGGCATCAACACTGTAATGTACAGTAGTTGCAAATGTTTACAATTTTTTTTTTCTCAAACGGTTTGTTTTGTTATCACCCGAATTTGACTCTTTTTCTACTTGTTGTGTTTTGCCCTGGACTTTGCAAGGACTCTCAGGAGAGACTCCTTGGGTGGTCCAGTGAAAAGCATAATAAGAACGACGGTGGGTTTGTGGAACACACCCACAGTCACCTCAACCGGAACGGACTTCTCCCCCCC